CCGCAGCGGCGGCATCACCCACAACAGCGCCTAGGTCACCAAGGCCACCTTCTCCGTGAGTGCCGGCGCGTGCACGGGAGCGGCCGGCCCGGCTCCCGCTGACCCCGCTGCTCTGCTCTGCTCTGCTCTCTCGCCAGCCCCCAGTGCCCGTGGCCACAGCCAAGAACACGTCCCGCAGCCCCATCAAGCGGCGCTCGGGGCTCTTCCCGCGCCTGCACACGGGGTCCGAGAGTCTGCCGGAGGGCAGAGCGCGATGGTAAATCTGCTGTCCCCGGGTGGGAGGGCCTGGCATGGCCAGCGGGTGTCCCAGAGCCACCGGGTCCTTCCTGTGCTGCACCAGCACCCTCGGGCCCTTCTCCCCAGCCCAACTGCAGGTGGGGTATCCAAAGAGCCCCGTGACTTGGTGTGGGGCACGGGGCACTTGGTCGCGCGCCTTGAGACTCTGCTATGAGCTCTGTGACCAGCTGCCTCTGTGCAGTGACAGCACCTCCGGAGCGCAGCGGACGCCAGACATGGGACACACGGCGCAGGATGCGAGGGCTGAGACCTCCTCCAACCCCAGCTCCCCCGAGATCTGCCCCAGCAGGGAGAGGTGAGCGGGGTGGCCGTGGCTCCTGGGCCCTGGGTAAGACCCCAGGGGTTGCGCCATCCTGCGGCCCGTCCTGCAGGGAAGCCAGCCCTCCACCGCGTCGCCCTTCAAGCAGGACGTCTTCGTCTACAGCGCGGTGCCCGGCAGCGAGAGCCCCGGCGGGGCCGCCGCCACCCCTGTCATCATGAGCCGCAGCCCCACAGGTGGGTCCTGGTCAACACTCCTGCTCCTCCTCATCCTGCTCGTGCCCATACCCAGCTTCCTCTTCATCCTCCCCGTCTTTCTCCCTATCATCCTCCCCAGCCTGTCTGGCACTCCGAGCCCATTCTCCAGCACTGTCAACTCCCCTAAATTTAGGACCCGTTTGTTTAAAGCAAGTTGGACAGAGCAAGCAGTCCTGGGTCTGGAAATGCAGCTGGAGGGTTTATGGGGCCAGGCGGCCAAGCACAGCCCTGCTCCGCGCTGGGCCACTTTGTGCTCCCCGCGGCGGCTCCGTCTCCCCGCGCGCCGCGGCGCCCGCTCGGGGAAGCGGTTGCAGAGGCACATTGCGGACTCGGAGCCGCCAGACAGCTGCAAGTTCACCGCTAATGAGGCAGTAATTGAGAATGATCTAGGAGAAAAAATGAGCTGCTTGTCTTTCCCCATGCAGCACCCCCAGTTCTCTGCCTTATTGGATTAGCGATTTCTGAAGAAGTAAAGCAGTCCCCTGTAAGGTCTGAAGTGTTTATTTGGTGTTTCCCCTGCCAAGAACATTGAAATCCACCCATACAGTGCACTGCTCAGTCATTTGTTGTAGCCTTTTCAGTGACATTTCTATTAGAGAGATTGTGTATTATAATTAAGCCTCCATTTATTCTATCAAAGACGTTTAATGTACAGATTTTGCCAAGCATTCAGCCAAAGCAGACGAAACACTGACAACATTCAGGGCGGTCTATGAGACCGCCAGCTGTTCTAGCGGCAGTCAGTCGCGTAGCTTAAACAAGTGCTTTGCCTCCCTGAGCTTGGTCTTCTTTTGCCCCCCCGTCCTCCAGCAGATATAAAGAACAGGAACTCTCCGAGGTCAAACCTGAAGTTTCGCTTCGACAAGCTCAGCCACTGCAGCTCCAGCACGGTGCGTCCGCGCGCGGGGCCGCGGGAGACCGCCAGCTGTTCTAGCGGCAGTCAGTCGCGTAGCTTAAACAAGTGCTTTGCCTCCCTGAGCTTGGTCTTCTTTTGCCCCCCCGTCCTCCAGCAGATATAAAGAACAGGAACTCTCCGAGGTCAAACCTGAAGTTTCGCTTCGACAAGCTCAGCCACTGCAGCTCCAGCACGGTGCGTCCGCGCGCGGGGCCGCGGGGACGGGGTCGGTGTCGGTGCTGGGGCGCGAGGCCCCGCGGCCGCCCATCCCAGCCTCGCTTCACCCGCTCCCTGCTTCCCTTGCAGAGCCACTAGCAGGAGGCAGAGCCGGGAGCTTTCCCGAGGTGAGCGCTCATCACGCAGCACCAGTGACCCATC